GGTATCTGCTTACCTGTGTTTTGCAGTAGAGAGAGCCCCAAGACCCAACAGACCCAGTCTATCTATCTGAGCTCATCTTGCGTCTTCTTTCTGTATCAAATCACGTCTCGGGTCACCAAATGAAGCCAATAATTCCCTTTGGCTGGCGTGTCCACAATTTGGTACAGAAATCAGACGAAGATATCCAAGTTTAACATCTGCATTTAATTATCTTTACAATCAGATACAGAATATTCAACAAAAAGGTGCTCCTAACTAATATGTCCCTCTCCTGGCCCTCGGCTGATTTCTCTCGTCTCTTCCCAAGCCAGAGCATTATGTTCAGGGAGCAGGGGGCGTGTCGTATCAGGGAGGTCCTGTGCCCAGGGTCCGATGACGTCACAGGTCTGAAACTGGTCTCTGGTCTGAGACTGGTCTGGTCTCTGCTTAAGCAAACAATGCCCCCACCCGTGCGGCGCCTGTGTAAACGCAGCTGCTGCGGGAGGGGGCTGCGGGGGATCCATAGGTCAAATTTGCCACACATGTGTTTATTCTGGGAGTCAATAATTGTCTGGCTTTTGTAAGCTGGTCCTCCTTTATGATTCTCGTACTTCTTGTGTCCTTGGGGTTTTTCCTGAGTGCACAGAGGTCTTTTTTTGGCTATGATGTTCAAATGGTCAAATATTGTCACATCTGAATAGTGTAGATTTAAAATATACAACAATGCCCATCCCCTTCATGATGAATTCTGTTACTTGGCGTCTGGTTAGAGGCTCAGGTCTCCCAGAGTGACAGGCCCCGGCTTCTGTGTGGAGGGAATGAGTTGTTGTTTTCCTTGACCTAATCCATGTTAACTGGTTATGCCTCTGTTTGACTGTGAAGTTTGCACCTATAGGCAAGATAATAATAATTAAGGGACGACAAAACAGACAACAATAATAACACAGAAACAACACAATATAAAAGCACAAAAGTACAACCCCAAAACAGAACAGATTAAAAAAAAACGAATCAAACTTTTTTTAAATGTCCAACAATGTTTTCACTTCTGTTGTGTTTTTAATGTATCCCTTTGTACTACAACACTAACATACTAACCCATTGGAGACATGTAAGAAATTGAAATGAAATGGTTCGGACCATTCTCTCTGCTCTGGTCCAAAGTAAAATGCTGAATGCTTAATTAGCAATTTTCAAAAAGTTAGAATCAGAATCCTTTTATTGCAACAGAAAGTCACAAACTAGGAAATTGCTTTGGCTCTTGGTGCAGACAAGCATTCCTGCAGTGGATTTTCACCTGATCCACTTGGTTCGGACCATGAATCCTCTCTGCTCTGGTCTGGACCTGAACAAAACCATGAACACTGTACTGCAGCAACATCTCAGGTAGAAAAAAGTGAGAAAATAAAAATTTTAAAACACAAAACAAATATTTCAGATAAACTTTAGACTTGCTGCCGTTTCCAGTCTATTCAAAAGGTAAACGTATCGGTCTGATCAAATCAAGGTAATTCAGAACTGATTTGTCTCATATGGATCACATCAATTTAAAAACCCTTGCTGTATGGCTTTTTTTTTTTTACTTTCTTTGTGCTTCACTTTGAATCCCCCAGAGACACGCATGTCCAAGCATGATGATCACACCAGACAGAGAAGAGGAGAGGAAAGCAGAAACAAACGTGTGATATGAGTGAGGGATATTCCATTCAGGACAGAGACGCCACTTCAAAAATATATCACTGTCAAGAGCACTTGTGCGGGACTGAGGGGAGAGGCCACTGAGAGCAGAGATAGAGGAAGCAGACTCTATTCAAAATATTTCCCCAAACTGCTGCTGTGGTAAATACAAAGGTAACTCTATGGATGTGCACATGTGGTGTTGGGCATAAGGACGTGTGCAAAATGTTTAAAGTCATAGTCTGTAACTCTAAATGAATTACACATTTTAAGAATTATATTAAATTTACCTCCTGGCCTTAAATGTTGATATAAAATAAGTCATTTTATGAATTCTAATATTACGGGTAAATCCCGCCTTCCCTTCACTTAGCTATAGCCCAGAATCATAGACTGTTTATATTAACAGGCAGAGTCACGCCTATCTCCGCCGTTCTAACTAATGGGCTAAAAAAAAGTGCTCTACTGGAGCTATCCAAAATGGCCGCGAGTGGTCCCGCCCACAAGAAAATTGTGAAAAAACGCATCTGCGCATGCGTCAGCCGGCGCAGCTCCATTCATTTGAAAGAGAGACTTCAGAAATTCACAGCAAGTAAACTAGAGTGGACCAAAAAAATCCACCCCCCTCAGCATTGACACACATGTGGAACGGAGCTTTGGGCCAAGAGTCAACTTTTGGACCATCCTGTAAAGACGTTTTTGAGAGGTCTGCCAACGCTATATGTTAGCATTGGCTAATTATTCTTCTGGGTCCTCCCCCATCGGCCCGGGGTGGTATTGCAGCATGTCAGCGCACGTCATTTTGGCCACTTTTGAGCTGGGACCTGCCCCCACTGCTCAGAATCCACGATGCCATCGACGTTAACCAATCAAGTGATGCCAAGGGCTGTCAATCATCAGCGCTCGTGCTCGTAGCTGCTCATGCTCAGGTGTTTGTTTTCACGGAACCTCCGAATCAAGCCTTTTTAGGCTCTGAAACGACATGAACATTTTGAACATCTGCGCTGAGTGACCCATTTACTGTATATACTGAGCCTATATCCATAATCATTTATATACTGAACCTATATCCATAATCATTTATATACTGAACCTATATCCATAATCATTTATATACTGAACCTATATCCATAATCATTTATATACTGAACCTATATCCATAATCATTTATATACTGAACCTATATCCATAATCATTTATATACTGAACCTATATCTATAATCATTTATATACTGAACCTATATCCATAATCAGATCCTCTGCAGATGTGTCCTGTAATGTTCAATCAATGAAAATAGCTACTTCCGGGTTTACTGCGATCGCTTTTTTGTGCATTAAAAAAATATTTTTGTCATGAAAACGTTAACAAATAATTCTGAACCTCTGTGTATGTGTATTATTAATGTATATGTATAATTTGTTCTCTGATTAACATTAGATGAGTTGATTGATTGTTACAGAAACGTAGTTTTAGAAAGGAAAGGGGAGGAGCTTGGGTTGTTTTTTTCAAATCATGTACCTCTCTCTCTTTTTTTCTAACAAACTCCTGACAATCACTTTAATGAGCCGACTTCTTCAGAGAATGACTAAGTGGCATTGCAGTGAAAAATAACAAGAATATTCTCACAACGAGGTTCAAAGTTGATGTGTTTTATTCTAACACTTAAATTCAGTTTGGCAGTGAGTCAGCTCATTCATACATATACTTTTCTGCATTCAGACAAAATAATATCAGCGTATATGATTTTCTCCAAACAACTATATAATCTGTAAGATGAAAAGATCTCAAGGAAACACAATGAACACGAGATGATCTTATACTTATATTAGTGGCCTTTTGTGCGTTTGGTTATTGAAATGCTAATTAATGTGTTATGTAAGTAAAACACAGAAGGATAGAACTGAAAGGTGAAAGTCTGTTTTGTGAAAATGAAAGCCATTCTTTTAACACCTGTGCGCCTCCTCCTCACCAAATGTCCAGACAGAAAAGATATTAGCACGCCCCTGCACCAATGGCACTGTTTTTTTCTCATTCCAACGCAACAATAGGGCACCATGCTGATAGATTTGTCACCAAAAAGTTATGCTAAGATTGGATGTAACTCCGCTTCAGGCTGCTCAAAATGCACAATGAACAAAAGGATTTCTTGAACATGACATTGGTGACACCTTCTCACTTTATTCTGAAGTTGAAAATCTGCTTTGTTTTACATTAATTAGCCTGGTCTTAGCTATCCGTAAACTCTGGTCAATAATCTTTTCCTACACGTACGTCTGGGTCTGATCCTAGTGGCTGCAGTTTCCTCTGTTGATTCCCCTCTGACCAATCAGCAAGCGGAGGAGGCGGGTGTTGTAGGCAGGTGTCAGTGACGTCAAGAGTTCGCGTCGAATTTGCTGGTTGTAGTTTGACAATGGTGGCGAATGAGATTGTAAAGTAATCCATTCTGGTTTGGCTCCAAATATCAAGAAATTTATGCCAGAGAAAGAGGAATGGTTTTACAAATGTCATTGCTGCAAAGATGTTGTGGCACTACCCCCCCCCCAGGGGCTTCGTTAGTGGCAAAGGAGATGGCTAAAGCTAGGCTAATGCTAAATGCCTCACTCACTCGGGCGCAATACATACGTCGCGGTAAACTCGGATACAATCATTTCAATCTGCAATCCCCCTCCCACCTGTTAACGGAGCTGAATGGAGCAAATCCAGACCTTAGTACGGAATGAAATGAGTACGATGGTGTGGTAAGACCAGGCCATACCCACACAAACGTTATCACATAATGTACATACTGCAAGTTCAGAGACAAAAGTCAAAAGAACTCAACCAAAATATATGATAACATAAAGCTGCATAATTTATCACCAGCGGAGGCAGTTAAAGGCCATAATATAGGCATTACCGGAGAGGTCAGACAAGTATAAAATGAGAATGTTAAAATGTTGTACTATCCACGGCGGTCAGATAAGGACAACGGCGTGAATCAAGTGGAAGTGAAGGAGAGAGCAGCGTCTTTTTACACGAGGCTGGAGCACGTCGCAATATCCGCCGCCAATAAATCTGGGTATTATCTTCTTCAAACAAATAGTTGATTCTAATTGAATGATTTTATAATCTGTTGGCAAATTGATAATTCTGTGGCTGCTGTTGTGCTTTTAGGCGATACAAAAATATGTAGATTTTATTTGACTATTACAGCTGTTTTGAAAATTACCTCCTCCAAAAACTGGGGAAGTTCGTAGGTTTTCAGTATACATACCCAAGGAAGTATGTGTTTGTGCTTTTTGTGCTTTTTTTCCTGAAGTGATATGATTGAAAAATAATCTCTTGTACCTATATTCTTTCACAGTGGGGGCACTCTTCTGACAGTGTACGGAACCAATCTGGCAACCGTCAGGGAACCCAAGATCAGAGCCAAGTACGGACAGGCTGAATCTTTCCATGTGAGTAAACTCTAAGTAATCCTGCTCAAACCAAATGTACAAACTCACACACTTCTTTCTCCTGTAAGACATACATGTAGTATATATAGGTTGCAATAATGTTTTAACTTCCTCAATCTTCAGCCTGTGCTCGTTTCTTCACCTGCAGCTGTTGAAGTCACATCGTGTTTTTAGCCTATACTACTTCCCTTGATCATTTCAACGCTCCAAATGTAGTCCTAGTGCCCTCTGCTGACATGCCGTGTTAACATTGAATATGCCATGCTGTGCTTTGCCAATGCATGTATGTCATTTATGCATTGTATTGTAACCATTGAGACAAAAGAAGCAAATGCAAAAATACCCTCAATAATACACTGCAAGGAGTGAAAAAAAATAAGTCTTAAATTTGGCAATATGTATGTTATTTTTTTGACTGCCTTTAAGCAGGCTAAATCTATCTTGTCTCCTTTGGATTAGGAAAATGCAATACAATACAATACAATTTATTCTTGTATAGCCCTAAATCACAACAGTCATCTTAGAGGACCATTGAAATCACCAACACAGATCAGAGAATCAACAGTTAAAACACAAAAAGAACTTAGAACACATGTTGATAAATGTCCATACAGGTCAAATAAATCAACAGTTCTTGAAATAAGGCTAAATATCTTCGTCTCATTCTCAAATCTTGCTTTACGACCGTCATTATGAAGTCAAATTAAGATAAAAACCACTTGATTTAAGCAGCCATTACCTCATACTCGTTCACTTTTTTGCAGTGTATACAATGTGGAAGACCTTGAACACAATCCCGGCCTTTCCCTTTAAGAATGTTCTGAAATGAGAGTGTTACAGAGGAGGTGGCAGACAGGCTGAAACACTACCTGGGGCCAAGGCTGCTGAAATGTCAACGCTGTGCACAAGTGTCTCCAATAAAGAGTGTCAGCAGCACTAAGATAGAGATGTGAGAGCTTTTATTAGATCCACTGTTTACACATCTCTCCTCTTCCTCCTGCAGCTCATAGTGCGAGCTTAGCGACGCAAGAGTGGAGGAGGACTAAGCCGCCACCACCGCTCATATGTTCTCTTACTGATGCGTTTGATTGTCTGAAAAAATCCGGGCGTGTCCTTATATTTTTCTTAATTCAAATTCACAGATATTACAAGGCAAGGCAAGTGTACGGTGCAGTTTATGCACAAGGCTACTCAAAGTGCTAAACAAAAACAAGAGAGAAACAGTATGTCATAAAATAAGATAAGATATCCTTTATTTAAGATATTACTTTAGAGGAGGGCGACAGTGGCTCAGTTGGTAGAGCATTGGCCTTAGAGCCTGAAGGTCGTGGGTTCGAGCCCACCACAAGACCTACTTCATGACTCCCACTGATGTCTGCTGTCGATGAGTCCTTGGGCAAGACACTTAACCCAAATTTACCTGAAGCCCCTGCTGAATAATCAAGGCTCCTGTGGACTCAGCACCTGCAGGAGGATCAGTGAGGGGCTGGTGCTCTGACTGCCACCCCCCGACCCAGAAATGGATTAAGGGGAAGACGCATGATGGATGGATGGATGGATATTCCTTTATTTGTCCCATAGTGTCATCATTGTGCACATTACAGCAGAGAAAGAAGGAATAAGATTGTACACATCAAGCAGGGTCTATTATTTAAGATAATAAACAGTATAATTAAAATGATAAGAAGGTTAAATTGAATAAAATAACATTAACTCAGGAGCTATCACCCGGATCATGATTTTAAAATGAGAAAATTATATTATTAATGACCCAATGTAAATATTTCAATGAGGTTTGGAAGTCGGTAGTGCGTGCAGATGTATTTTTTGTGAGCGTATGTCTGCAGTAAGTAGTAAGTAGTAAATAAGTCATGTTTATATAGCAGATTTTACAGAGCAAGGTCTCCCAAAGCAGTGTTGAATGGTGTTTTAGAAAATAAACCAAAACGGACCAAGACAAACCAAACCAAAGCCAATCAAACCAGAGAAAAGCAGAAAAACAGCACTGTCTGAGAGGAGAGGCTCCACAGCCCGACAGCGACCGTAACATATACAAAGTATCAAAATAACTCATAAATAATCAGAGTACACCATCAGTTGTATGCACGGCTAAACAGAACTGTTTTTAACCCGGATTTTAACTGTCAGAGAAAAGCCTGTCTCACATTTTCAGGAAGACTGTTCCAGATTTTAGCAGCATAATTCTGAAACACTGCTTCCCTGTGTTATGTTCTTGCAGTGAACAGAATGGGAGGCTGGCACTATCAAAGATAACAAAAATAGGAGCATATTTTTCTTTATTTTTCTCTCGCACAAGTCCAGCCCGAACAATATCAACCTTAAAATAAAATTGGGCACCTGGCAAAGTTTGATATTTTATGTCTCGATTTAGCACATTTTTTCGCGCCTTCTTGCAACACTCTCCTCTGCCGCTGTTAAAATATATTTATTTTGGATTGTCCCCGAGTGCACCATTTCTTTATTATTAAGGGTTCCTTTCTGCCAATTGATACAGATCAGCTGTGAGTTTGTCTTGAAAGTACTGTAGGTAGAAACCATTAGTTGGCGTTATGTCTCATTTGTTTTAGGTAAGTTATTTTCACACACACAAAATATCTTATTGGCTCAGTACCACTTTATTGTCAGCAAACTACAACTTGAAACAAAATTGTAACTAATGATAATTCATGTTTTGTACTGCTACATTACAGCTGTGTTAATGCCATGGTACATGTGTATTCATGTGTGCACAATGGACACCTTTGAAAAAGTATTCCTATGTGGTTTTGTGGCAAAGGAATCTGAATCTGAATCTAGGAGAAGCAGCATCAGAAACAGTGGCATCGTAATGGAAATAATTAAATGTTATGCTAATCCCATAAAAGTCTAAATCAATATTTAATAACAGCAAAACTTGCAAACCTAAGAAAATTTTGAATAATAATTTACAATACAATTTTGTTATTATTGTGTACTTGTTTTTTATCCAGAACGCTAAAAAAAGCCATTTGGACTTTCAGCCTTACTTGAAACTTGTAGAATTTGCCTCTATGTTCTCATGTTTGTAAACTGCCGTAGAAAAAGAAGTGACATAATTTTTTAATCAACCGAAAAAAGGTCATTGGGCTTGCTTTGTTTACCCTAAAAATATAAATTCTCATCTCCAGAACTGCACTGTCTACAACAACTCCGTCATGGTGTGCTTGGCTCCCTCTGTCGCCGACTCCGAGTTGGGGTTTGCCGAGACGGGAACGGGTCCGGACGAGATCGGGTTCTACATGGACAACGTGAACGCCCTGGTGGTGGTCAACGAGACCTTCAGCTACTACCCAGACCCCGTGTTCGAGCCGCTGAGTCCCACGGGCATTTTGGAACTCAAGCCCACCTCTCCACTCATCCTCAAGGTGAGACCCGGGCATCAGAAGTCTGCTCCGTACTCCCAAACATACATCACAGAGAGAGAAAGAGAGAGAGAGATGGAGAGAGGGAGAGAGGGAGAGAGACAGTTAGAGACAGTGAGAGAGAGAAACAGAGAGAGAGAGAGAGAGACACACAAAGAGAGAGAGAAACAGAGATAGTGAGAGACAGTGAGAGAGAGAGAGAGAGAGAGAAAGAGACAGATAGAGAAAGAGAGACAGAGAGAAAGAGAGACACAGAGAAGAGGATGAGAGAGACAGAGAGAGAGAAAGTGAAAGAAACAGAAAGAGAGACAGAGAAGAGGATGAGAAATTCAGAGAGATAGAGAGATAAAGAAAGACAGAGAGAGAGAGCGAAAGAGACAGAGAAGAGGATGAGAGGGACAGAGAGAGAGAGAGAAGAGGATGAGAGAGATATAGAGAGAGAGAAGAGGGTGAGAGACAGAGAAAGAGAAAAAGAAAAAAGAAATAGTGAGAAAGAAAGAGACAGAGGAGAAGATGAGAGAGAGACAGACAGATAAAGAGAAAGAGAGAGACTGAGAAGAGGATGAGAGAGACAGAGAGAGAGAAAGCGAAAGAAACAGAAAGAGAGACAGAGAAGAGGATGAGAAATTCAGAGAGATAGAGAGATAAAGAAAGACAGAGAGAGAGAGCGAAAGAGACAGAAAGAGACAGAGAAGAGGATGAGAGGGACAGAGAGAGAGAGAGAAGAGGATGAGAGAGAGATAGAGAGAGAGAAGAGGGTGAGAGAGAGACAGAGAAAGAGAAAAAGAAAAAAGAAATAGTGAGAAAGAAAGAGACAGAGGAGAAGATGAGAGAGAGAGAGACAGATAAAGAGAAAGAGAGAGACTGAGAAGAGGATGAGAGAGACAGAGAGAGAGAGACAGAGAGAAAGAGAGAGAGAGAAAGAGAGAGAAAGAGAAACAGACGAGGATGAGAGAGAGAGAGTGAGAAAGAGAAAGAGAGAGACAGAAGAGGATGAGAGAGACAGAGAGAGTGAGAAAGAGAAAGAGAGAGACAGAAGAGGATGAGAGAGACAGAGAGAGAGAGTGAGAAAGAGAAAGAGAGAGACAGAAGAGGATGAGAGAGACAGAGAGAGTGAGAAAGAGAAAGAGAGAGACAGAAGAGGATGAGAGAGACAGAGAGAATGAGAAAGAGACAGAGGGAAAGAGAGAGACAGAGAAGAGGATGAGATAGAGACAGAGAGAGTATAAAAGTTTAATGTGTAAGTAAAGTTTGTCTGTGCTGAGAATCCTAAAGAGCTGCTATGACCCTTTAACGTTCACACATTGAAGAAAGCAATGCACATATTCCTTTTTTGAAATCTTTTTTGAACATTTCCGAAAATTATAGACCTTTACCATATGGTTGAGATGCAGCTTGATGGTAAAAGTGCCTAAAACCAGGTGATGGAGATTCCCCAATGAGGTAGATTTCAGGTCCAAGCTTCAAGACGGTTTAGTGACTCAAAGAGTGATCCAAAAAATGGTCGAGGAAACCGTTAAAGGGTTAATAGGTAAAAAAGTATTTTTTGTGTTCTTTATATAGAGCTGTGTCGGTACTTTACAGCAGTTCATGTTGGTGGTGGGATTAAAAAAGTTCTCTTCTCCCACTCCCTTTCAGGCAGTTTTCAGGTTTTTTTTTTTGCTATGCTAATAATAAATGTGTTGCTGGGCTTGACTGAAATAAATAAATGAATACATGAAAGTAGAAAAATAAATGTTGTGAACAAATCTGACCACAACATATTCTATTCATCCTGTCCGGTCTATATAGAGTTCTATGAAGAGCCCTGTGAGCCACTATTTGGCACTTTGCGCTGAGAGCTGATTGGCTGAATGATGGTGGAGCTAAATGACATAAATGCAAATAAACAAGTGAGAGAACTGTTTTGAGAGCGAGGAAATAGTTCATTTTTGTTGATTTGAAGTTTGCAATACGACCACTGCAGATGTTTTGACTTGCAGATTGAAACTTCCTGTCTATTTCACTTACTATGGTGATTGAGACGAGCTTTGAAAATATGAATAAACGTCTACTGTCAAGTGCATCAGACAATGAGTTCCACCTGCACTACCACAAACCTCTACCGCAGCCCATTCTGAATATTTTATTTATTAACATAAGGGCTCAGTCAACGCTAAGAAAACCTACGACTAAAAGATATGCCGTAAATTCTGGCAGATTTTTTCCTGCATTTTGAAGGCTGCGGCCTATAGAAAGGTGCGGCTTATAGTCTCGAAAATAGTGTATTGATAAGTAATGTTTTGCACTGCTACATTAAATTTGTATTAATGGCATAGGAGGAGCAATCAGAAACAGTGGCATCTTAATGAAGATAGATATATGTTATGCTAATCCCATATAATTCGTAATCAATCTTTAATCACAGCGTAACCTGCAACCTGATGTTAGTACCTTTTATATTCGGCTTTAATCTAACCTAATCTAATCTATGCAAAATACATGTTGATAAATGGCTGACAAAAGTTAAAAGCAGTTGACACTAACCCTACACTTTGCTAATATTGATACTAAATCCTTTGTATATTCAATCATCTCTATTGGGCTTTGAAAATGAATCTCCAACTGTGCAATCTGGTGAACTACTGTCAAAGTATGGATTTTTAGTTGCTGAATTCTTTCCACGCCTGGTACCTGCCATCGCCAGCTAAATATTTCATTTTGAACTCTGCTCTTTCCTTATGCTTGTTTTTTTCCGCCATGTTTTCTCTGCTTTCAAGTCGAACCTCCAAAACATATCGAACCCATTTTGTATTTATAATGGCCCTACACCTCAGTCTGTTTACAAGGTCTTTATACACCTGTGCTGAATTTTATAATTGAAAGTTCTCGCCTTCCACGGCCAATGTTTGTCCTTCAGTCACTTCTCAAACCACTTGGGTGATACGCCGCCGCCTGAAGCCCACTTAAATAACATGCGTTTCACTTTATGTAATTAATTTCCTTTGTGCTATAGGGCACCATGAAGGGAGTCCGACACAGGCTTCTGCTGGTGTGTGTTTCCATTCAGAGTCTTTGGACTTTGGGCCAGTAATAGAAATGGCAGTTTTAGAATTTTTATTTTTTCTTCCCAAGTGGACTGTAACAAGTTCCGGACTATAAGCCGTGGCTTTGTTCCCGCTGCAACTCATAGTAAGGTGCGGCTCTATTCTATAATCTTTGTGTAAATATTTGATGTAATATATAGTGCAAAAGTACAAATTGTACACACATTAAAGTGGAAAGAGACCGGTAGATTAAGAACAGTCTGTGACTCACTTCTTACTCTTATTACTCACAGTAAAAAGACATGATGTACGTTTTTGAGTGACATTTTTTAATACTACAATGTGGTGCGGCTTATAGTCCAGTGCTGCTTATGGTAACTCTTTTTATCTTGTTTTATCTGGATCATTGAGTTTTCTCTTCATAATTTACCCGTTGATATCAGCTGCTACCACTGAATGAATAGAGGCTTTTTTCCCGTAATAAAACTGAAAAGCTAAACGGAGACTGACACTTCCTTTTTTACAGTAATTGAGATCAGTGGTGCCCTCTACAGGTGTCAGTGGGAACACGACATGAGGAAACAAAAGCACATGATCATTCAAACATCATTTTTTTTACAGCAAGACAAGCTTTAGAAGTATGTACCCCTTTCATGTTCACTCCTTGAAAAAAGCAATTTACATTTTTATTTTTATTTTTAACCCTTTGTTTTTTTTTTTAAGTAGTGGCCATTAGAGACACAGTTTGATGGTAAAAGTGCCTAAAACCAAGAAACCCCAATGAGGTAGATTTACATGAGGGGGAGGTGGTTGATGAGCTGAAAAATACTTTTGGATTTCCATAGCTGTGCAGGTTGTTCTTTATTTTACATACTGAAAAAAAGTATTCACACCAGGCCCTTTTGTGACAGGCCAGATACAGAGTTTGACTGTGGATGACACTGAGCAACTACATTCTGAAAATATAATTTGTATCCTTTACTGTACTGTTCACGTTGTTTATGGACAGAGCTTGGGTACCTAACTTATTTATTCATAAATAGTACATAGTTTGGCCCAAGAGGAAAGAGTAATTTTGAAGAATCCCACAATCGGCAGAAGTGGTGGCACATTAGTTTCAACAGCGGAGATAGGCGCGACTACATCTGTTAATATTTAATCCATGGTGAAACCTAGTGATGGAACCAAGCTGTGATGAGGGCAAAGAACTAGTAATGTGGATTCAGTTTGTGTTGTGGTTGGAAAAATAATCACTACACTGAAATGAGGACCCTCTCACCCATTTCTCCACAATGCCCCGCACCGGCCTACAAAACGCATACGCTGCCTGTGTGTAAATCTCCCTTTCATCCCTGTATGGAGCACACCTGACGCCTGAGATTGAAAATTAATTGCGTGGCGAGAATCCTCCAGAACGACTCTCCCCTTTAATAAATTGCATTTTTTCGTCCATCTCATCAGTGCTCCCAACAAGCCAAGCAGGAGATTTGACAATTACCCAGAAGCTCGCTGCTAATAAATGATCATTTAGGAAATAAATGGCTGTGGTTACGCTTCTTTCAATGTCTCCGTGGCAATAAACATGCTCCCGTGCGCAGGAAAATTGATTGTTTAAAATATAGACGGAGCAACAGATTCCTCAGTTGTCTTATGAATGTATTTTATATGGTTTGGACCAGTGGTTGCAAACTATTTTGTCTCAAGACCCCCTAAGTGCTAGCCTGGCCTTAGCTATCCGTAACTCTGCTCCATTATCATGTTTGTCTGGGTCTGATCCTAGTGGCTGTAGTTACCTTGGTTGTATACCCATCCGACCATTCAGCACACGGGGGAGGCGGGTGTTGTACTGTAGGTTGTGTCGGTGACGTCAAGAGTTTGCGTCAAATTTCCTGGTTGTAGTTTGGCAATGGCGGCAAATCCGATAGAAAGTAATCTGTTCTGGTTTGGCTTCAAATATCAAGAAATTTAAGCTGGAGCAAGAGAAAAGTTTAGCAAATGTCATGGCTCTACTCCCCACAGACTCCGTTAGTAGCAAAGGAGATGGCTAATGCTAGGCTAAATGCTAAAGCTAGGCAATATGGTAAAGCAAGGCTAAATTCTAGCGACTCACTCTGACGCATTACGTACGTCACGGTAAACTCCGATATCATAATTTCAATCTCTTAAAGGAGTTAACCCCTCCCACCAGGTCAATGGAGCAGATCCAGACCTTTGTACGAGATTAAATTAGATTAGATTGTGTTTGTATAGTTATAATTAAGAATCCATTTCCTAGTAATTGTTATTGAAAATGGTCAAAAATTAGAGGGAATCACAATAACTTTTTTTGTTTAATTTCAACAATTTTCCTACTTCTTTTTCTCGCAGGCTTCTAAAACACTGGTCTAGACTTCCATTTAAGCAATATACATGTTGTATTTACTTGAGAGCTGTGCTGGGAAACACTGCTTACAAAATAATATAATCCATTTTGACGAAAACTATACCTATTACTACAAGTTAAAGTCAAAAAAAGATAAAAAAAAATTCACAATGTTGACTGCCTTTAAAGAAAATTTGCCAATGGGACAAGGTAAAAATATCTGCTTTTTAAAAATATACAAGAAATGTCTCCATTGGAATGAGAAAAAAAAGCAACAGTAATTGAAAATAGACTAAATGGCTTTGTCCCATTGGTGAATCTTGATTTACGTCAGAATGTGCTCAAATTAAGAAAAATAACCACTCAATTCAAGCCATTAATATCTCATATTTTGTCACTTTTTGCAGTGTGGTATTGGGATCTCCTTGGGCATGGATAGGGTCTGGGCATCTCTCATGACTCTACAACAGACAGTGCAGAAGAAGATGGACGCATGAATCGATAGTTATATACAATAGCTGTAGTGATTTTTTTAGTAAGGCTACCATTTTGAGGTGTCTTGCTTTGAATTGCTGATCGTACACAAATCAACCCTGCTGTTAACTCCTCATAACCTCAGCGAAGGCTCATGATTGTTAACGGCATGAACGACATCTGGCATCTAATGGTTCCGACGGTTTCTTTGGCTTTACATGTACTAATCGAGAGCTTCACCCCCCGCCATCTTTACCTCTTGTATGTTTTGATGTTGCAGACTTCTCCTCCACCTGCCTCCCTATCTCTTGTGTGTGTGTGTGTGTGTGTGTGTGTGTGTGGCATTGGTGGATTGGTGTTTACGGCGGAGGCCCGTGGAGTCGGTTGGATTGGAGAGCTGAGTGAACCGGGGCCCCCTGCTGCTTTGCCAGTCGGGGGGAGCCGGTACAATCGTCAGCTATCTCCTCTCACACCACGCTCCAGCTCCTTTACCCACTCCTGTCTGCGTCGACGCCACTTCTCCCGCCTGCGTCTGGCTTTGCTCGAGCTCCTCCCTCCTGCCACGTTTTGTTTTTGCGCCGGTTTCCTTTTCATTACACCGCAAACAGAGAGAGCGTGTCCAATCGGAACAAGTGGGGTTGATATTGTTATGGAAAAGGGCGAGCAGGGTGGACAGATGTTTGAATTGGAATGGTTTTCTTAGGTTGAGAGAAGCGAGGAAGAAGCAATTTGTTTGTGTTTGGCTCGGGCATTGTGTCGGTCTAGACTGGTTTTGGTTTTTGAACTGCTTGGTTTGTTTAGCCGGGTTTAAGATAAGATAAGATATTTTTATTGATCCCGTAATGGAGAAATTTACATGTCACATTTGGCATAAATAGGATCACTTTCGATATGCAAAAGACAGGAAATGTGCAAACATCTGAAAATTACTCTCTTTTGTGCAAGATATAATATGTAAATTTGAATTAAAAGAGACTATAGTGGTGCGGGTCTACAGTCCTAGTGCAGGTCATTATTTATAGAATGGGATATATTGTCAAAGTTTATTTCCAAGACTTTTATCTCAAGCTTTGTGTCACAGCGAAAATACATCAAACAGGAAGATGAAATTAGCCCTTTATGGCAAATTAAGAGTGTAAATGTTAAAATGAACTCAGTGGTGTGTTTTTACCCCCTTTATTTTACCATGTGATACAAAGTCCAAGACATACATTACTGTATAAAATAAAGTAGTGTGGGACATTTTGTGAAGGAGGGAAAGGGTTTGGGGTCTCTGCTCTGATAAATGAAGTTATTTTGTTCTTCTGTCAAATCATACTATAATTAACTATAATTTATCAAACTTGTTCCCATCTCTCAACATGTACAGTATGTCTATCACTAGTTCTGAAAAACAAGAAAGCACTTCAAACTATTTGATTATGTTTCAGTCATTATAGCCTTCATCAGATTCTTTTGTTCTCTTCGGGCCACAATATCACTGACTATAACAAGCATTATTTTTTTCTCAGCTCTTTCACATTCAGTTTTTTGACAGAAAAGTAACAAAATATATCAGTTCTCAGCCTTATTTGATTTTCATATGTGGGTAATTAAAAAAAATCTGTTTATGTGATGGGTTTAAATCCTAGACAGTTAAATCTTCCTGGGACAAAGCAGGTACTAACATACATCCCAATAAAGCAACTGGATTTTTTTACACACTACTTTTCTCATCTTTAACGGCATACCTTTACTTTTATCGCATACAATTAATTATTATTGTTTTATGTTGTTATTTGCTTTATTGTTACTATATGTGTATTTATATATATAGATCATTGTTTTATTCTAATTGGGTATTTATTATATTTTAATTGCTTTAATTTATAGCTGTCAGACTTTATATAGACTATATAAAGGTATATTGGAGGATTTTCCCAAATTTTAGGAAAGAACGAAACTCTCTGGTCCTCTTTGACGAGTACGTATCACCAGAATGATTGACAATTAGGAGTACCAATAGTCTTGAGCAGGGGTGCTCAATACGTCGATCGCGATCTACCAGTCGATCGCAAAGGTAGTATTGGTAGATCGCATTAAATAAATAAAAAATTACACATTCTAAACTAATATATACAAAAAACTCCGGGCAAAGTGGAGATTTTTGAAAACTCCGTTAATGCATTTGTGTGTAGTCAGAGATAACCGGAGTTTTGCGTTCTCGCACGCCACAGTACCCCCTAAATTCCTCTGATCACTGAAGCATGGATCATACTACCTTAAAAACTGTTCGCTGTGAGATGCTCGCAGCAGCGAACATCCTCCACATCAGAGAGCAGCAAAGTGATCGCGGGGACTCACGCTTGAAAACAACTAAACCAGGACTAAACCAGGACTAAACCAGGACTAAACCAGGGCTGAGGACGGGGTCAGTGCTTGTAAACATACGTCTTTACTCTGAGTGTCTTCTATGACTGTAAAAGTGCCGTTACCGGCGTCTGCATCAAAGCTCCGCCCACTTCTGTGTTTTTCCCCAACGCAGGACAGGACGTAAGACACGCACATGTTTGGAATGTTACGAATGTGATTGATAACGCAGATGTGTGGATGCAAATTATTTTATAAACTGAGGAGGGGAAATATTTGGATTAAAAAAAACAGGCATGGCACATGGACATGGCACCACAGTCAAATGACATCTGTGTTTTACTCAGTAATGTTTTACTGACACTTAGGTGACTGCACATGTGTGTTTTACTCTGTAATGTTTTACTGACACTTAGGTGACTGCACATGCGCAAACAACCGCGCTCAGTGCAGGAAAGCTAAACCACGACAAACTTGTCAGCGAGTTACCACCAATTTTCCAGACTATGCATCTCTGGCCGATTCAATTCAGTGCAAGTCATAAGAGTAAACTCGGGTAATGACAAAAAATGTACATAGATAATTGTGTTGTGTTGTGCTATATTGGCTCATGCGGTTTTGCATGTACATAAACATACATTGTAGGTATAAAGAATATTTTTTGAAATAAATATATGATTAGCATTTTTGTAGTAGGTAGATCATTTTGACTTGATCCTTTTATAAGTAGCTCGCATGCTGAAAAAGTGTGAACACCCCTGGTCTTGAGGATCCACGAGAAGTAGATAATCCTCCTATACCTTTAATGTCGTACTTTCATCCATGCAGAACTATAAAATGTGTGGATCAAATTGGATTCAGTATTTTGCTTATTATTTGTCATTTTCATTGTGTATCTCTACATATTACTATTGCACATGTTCCACACGCACACATACACACACACGTTATTTGTTGTATCCCTTAAAATCACCATCTCTTTGTTGTTTGTCGTATAATTGTTCTTTTGTGAATAATAAAAAAACTAATTACTTGACTGTTATTTTTTTTCTTTATTTCTAGGGCCGTAACCTGATCCCTGCTGCTCCGGGGAACAATCGTCTGAACTACACGGTGCTGATCGGGGAGACGCCCTGTGTGCTGACGCTGTCTGAGAGCCAGCTGCTGTGCGAGTGGCCAAACCTCACCGGACAGCACAAAGTCACGGTCAGTTACCCTGCTTATCAGTGGACGTGGCCTTCGAACCCATCACCACTGGGTTAAGGACGGAGAAGTGCGGGGTTAGAGGCTGTAAACACACACTGGGATGTATTGTATGTGGCTTTCCGTTATGTTAAAGGTGTAAAGGAGGATTTTCCCACATTTTAGGAAAGAACCACCCTCTCCACTTTGTCTTCAAAAGGTCCATGTGTACGTGAGCTGACATGCTGCTATCTCACTCCTATAGCTGGTGGGGGTGTACCTGGAATAAGAATTACCCAATGATTTTGTATGGTGTCTTCTTTCCTCTTGAAAACGTCTTACAGGATGGTCCAGAAGTCGCTTTTTGTCGAGTGCTGAGTGGAGTCTCTTTTTTTTGGACCAGTCTAGTTTAGCCGCTGTGGACATAATGCACTTGCTAAATGAATGGGGCTAGTGTTGGCTAATGCATGCGCAAATGTGTTTTATCACATTGTCCTGCCCCCGCAGCCATTTTGAAAAAGATGGCAAAAGTGGTGGCACATTAGTTTCAAAAGGCGTGACTATGTTTGTTAATATTTACAGTCTATGATCTGTGTGGGGAGAATGAAAAAAATATCTGAACTCTGAATATCTGAAATAATAAGAAAATAAACATATGAAAATTAATAAAATACTGCTTAAAATAAGAAAAATGATCTGCCAATAGAACAAGAAAATATGTTGTGATGTCACTTGATTGCCGCCTAAAGCCGGATTACAGTAAAAGGCTGAGACCTATTGCAGCTCTGGTCAGACCTCAAGTCACCCTCACATTAATAAGCATATGACAATTACCCTGATGTTGTTTCCGAACCATTTGCAGCGATGAATCCGAGCACACTCCAGCGCCTCTGTACCAGGCTGCTGTTAAATATGGAACGCCTCATTAACATGTTGATCTTTGCTGGCCTTTGGCGCGTTCAGGCACAAATTAAAGAGCTGCGAGTTTACTTTTCTCACAGAAGACGTGGAACGAAAATGAAAATGTACCAATGTTTGGGGGCGGTTTGTCAGGAAGTTAATCCATTAAAGCCCACATATTAGTATTCCATTCAATTTTGTACTTTTATGGTTAGAGTAGGTTGAAAAATGTTCACTAATTGTAACACGGATTGTTATATAAAAACTTGATGCTTAGGTCAAGGAAATGTGTCAAATGGGTTGAGCTGTTATTTTGGCTTGCTACATCTCTTTCTACACATAGGGGGAGTCACGAGCTACAGATTAGAACTTGTGTCTCCAACCTTTTTCACCCAATGAGCTACTTTCTCGGGACGATAAAGGCAGAGAGCTACTCCTTTCAGCGGCCCTGAGAAGAAGAAAAAAAGTGATACATTTGTGGGAAAAAGCCTGATATTGGGCACATTCATTATTTATCATCACATATTTGTTACTAGTGCACAAAGTAAGTGAATTTACAATAATAAATTAACAATTATGATATTGTCTAACACTGGAATATTAATTATATAATTTGATTTGTTCATACCTTAATCAATTGGCGAGCTACGAAGGGGGTGGCGAGCTACTGGTGACTCCCGAGCTGCTGGTTGGAGACCCCTGGATTAGAAGAACTCCCATTAACATGCATTGGTTTGTAAATGCAGCAGTTTTGCCTTACCACCATTCTAGCTTACTTAGTCTTAGTGTCCCATGATGCTTTCTAAGTTTCCCATAAGCTCAATCACTGTCTGCAGTTTTGCCTTCTGCACATTTCCCACTCGGCAAAGCATCAAAATACAGTATTGTTGTCATAGATCACTGTGCAAAAGCCCTGGGTTATTTTAAATGGGCATTCATTGATCTTACAACAAGAAGTTTACAAACAGGCTGAAATGGAATGTTAGGAAAAAGCAATTCCACTTTATAGCCCTGAGGAGTTGACTTTTTAATATGACAACATCCATTTTTAGTATTTCAGAAAATATTCAAATGAGGGCATTACAGGCTTTTTGTATCACTTGAGCCTTTTGCCAAAATATCATTTTGGGGTCACTTTTTGATAATTGTACGTCCACTATGGCTCAGGAAGACCTTAAAGAGTGACATTGATAACAATCTGACTTATAATAAAATAATCAATAAAAGAAAAAGAAAAAAATGGTCCAGAACAGTGTTTTAACTGTAAGTGAGCTTGGTCCTGACCTGGACTCATTTGAACAAGAATTAGAATTTGTATAATTTTTATTTTGTCTTTTCTCCCCTTTACATTCTTTACCTGTATGACCCAGCGGGGGCGGGTCCTAACTCCAAGAGGTCCATGAGCACACTGACATGCCAGCAATCTCACTCTGGGCTGGTGGGGGTGTACCCAGAAAGAGAATTACCCAGTTATTTGTATGCTGCCTTCTTTCCTCTCAAAAACGGCTTTACAGGATGTGTCCAGAAGTTGCTTTTGTGTGTGAATGCTGACCAGTCTAGTTTAGCCGCTGTGGACTTTTGAATGCCCCCGTTAAATGAATGGGGCTGGTGCTGGCTAACGCATGTGCAATTTATTTTCACATTTTCCTGCCCTGAGGCCATTTTGAAAAGGCCCCATAGACAGCAAAAGTGGTGGCACAATAGTTTCAACAGCGGAGATAAGCTGTTGTGTGACCCGCCTGGGACTATAAATGTAAATTAGCAGTTTATTTTTTTTGTTTTTTTACAATCTGGCCTTTTAACAATTTTTGACTAAAAACTCTCAAAACTTATACAAGTGTTCAATGTGTGTTGTCCTGATCAAAAACCATAACGTATAATAAATAAATAAAGACTTAAGAGAAGCGGTTGGCTGATTTTTCAAAAGATACGACTTGTGTAATGTTTTGAGCTGACTAAGATCCAAAAAGTAATGCCAAACGCAATTGCAAAAATCTATGAAAAATAAATAAATAATGTGATTCCTTCATGACGTTTTAATTTGCCTGGTTGGTAGTATTGTGCCGCCTTCTGTTTGGTCGTAAAAATGCCAGTGGAGACTTTGCACTCAACAAGGTGCTTTATGGCAGTGGGATAAATGAACTGCAACATAATTAAATTCAAGTCAATTGTCAGACAATTATCGAAGCCATTACTTTATTTTATGGAGCCACTCTTTACCTTGTCATGACACTACTTCAACATTACAAAATTACTAAGAGGACAATTAAAGCAGCACAAGCAGAGGCTATTGTACTCGGCAGCTTGAACTAATGATAGCTTTATAAAACACACTATGCAGAAAGTAAACATCATTTTATCAAATTGGTAACAGGTTATACACGACCTCTCTGATCCAGGGCTGGTCTGATTGACATGAGTGTCTGGGCTATCATTTCTAAAGACCCAGAGTTGACTATAGCTAAAGGTACAAAGGAGGATGTTCTACTTGCGCGTGGATCATCAAGACTGTTGGTCCAATTGTTAATCATTCTGGTGACACGTGCTCGTCAAATAAGACCAGAGAGTTTTGCTCAAAAAGTGGAGAGGCCGGTTCTTTCCTAAAATTTGGGATAATCCTCCTTTATACCTTCCTATTTAACATAAGATAAGAGAACCTTTATTTGTCCCACAGTGGGGAATTTTCAATGTTGCAGCGCACATACAGTCCAGCAGTAAGAGCAAAGATGGAGCACACAAAATATACATAACTGCTGTGTTTCTGAGCTAGCTCTAAATACGTCAATATAATCTATCATTATAACTGTCTAGTGATCTATACAGTGTAAAGATATACAATTATATATTTGTCAGCAGTGTTAAATTGGACAAACTTTAATTGTACTTTATGGGGAAGACCACAGCTACCAGCTTCTTTCTCTGGATAAAAGTGGCAGTGAGCTACTCCTTGGTACAGATGAAATAAAGTAAACATAATGGTGTGCTAAATGGATCAAGTGGTTTTTATCTTGATTATATTTTGAGGTTCTTTCACAAAGATTTTGAAATGGCACAAATGCTGAAACAACAATCTTATTTCAAGCTTGGCAAAGCATTGTATTTCTTTTTCCATTTGGCAAATCCTGTTTCAAGACCGTCAAAAGGTTTTCTCTTCATTTAGCCATTTTGGGTTAGGGTTAATTGATTAAAACATTTCTAAATTGTGAAGTCTCATACCAACAAGACAATAATATTGTATATCTGCACAAAGCTAATTCACAATTGTTTTAAACATGTAGCTACTTGTAAAAAGCTTGTAGCTTTTTCAAACTTGTGATAGAACCAAACAGTTTGGAGAGAAGTTAGAATGCATTTCATTACATAGTTTTTTTTTTTTCTATTGTGGTGAAAACCCAGCTTTTATGAAGTCATAATATTCTTGGGCCAGTTACAGTCATAATCTGGGACACCTTTGATTTGATCAAAATCCTATGGCAGGATTCTAAAAACTGAAGGAAAGAACCGCCCTCTCAACTTTTTGAACAAAACAGTAGAATGTTTCCTTTTTTTTATTTCATTAAAGTGTAGTTTTCTCACTCCCACCATACTTCCCTATACAGTAGTATGGCCACATCCAAATGCTCCGTTCTACTTGCAGACCAAGTTAGCAAGTGATGTTTTGTTCTTTGAGCAAAAATGACATTTGATTCATAACAGAACATTAGAAAACGATGTAAGACTCCCATTACAGGGGTGGTGGTCAAAGGAAGAGCAAAGAAATTATGTCTGGACTTCAGGAGATGGTCAATTACTCAAACATGAATGAGTCACCCTGGAACAAAGTCGAGTGTGTAAAAGCCAACTATAACATGGTCAAAGGCTGTGAAACTTAGATTTTGCATGTTGTATGTCCCTTTTTAAATGGAAAGGCTGTAGATATGTCTTTCCCCCTTGTCTCGTGCCCCTGACAATCAGCATTCTGCCTGTGTCGTGGAGTTGGATAAAACATTAAAAATAGATGAGTTTGTTGAGGTCGGAGTTGATGCGGAGACGCTAAGCCTGTCTCGGAGCACTAATCTAACAGCCTTCTTCACTTTTCTGATGTGCAAATAGGGAACAACTTTGCAAACTCGTGTTGCATGTTT